TGCTTCCAACGTTTCTGATCCTGTGCTTGAGTCTGAGCTTCGGCAGACGACAAATAGAGTCTGGAAAAGACTCCTTCCATATTTTGTTTTAGTCCATATATTTGTTTTAATACTAACACCAATTTCAGTAAAACTTTTTCAGCATTCCGATAACTCAAACCGACATGTGAAATAGCGAAAAAGAGCTACTGCTTTTTTACCCATACCAAGAGTAAACAAAACATTATCCGTACCAAATGGGCAAAAATCGCAACGATACCGGAGACAGCTTCAAAAAACTGCTGCGAGCAGAGATCAAACGAATCAATGAGTTCATCATCTGAGGTTTTCTAAACAAACAACACAATTTCACATTATCAAGAATGAAATGAACATATAAACCGTAAAATTTACCGAAAGCGTTGAGGAGTTGCACTGCAAATGATCGCTAATCACAACGGACGTACGATTATGGAGCTCCCAACCAAAACCACTCAAAACACATCTGTACACCAAACTAAAAAGAGATAAATTAAAAAAAAGTGAAACATTACATAAGTGAAAAATTAACGATTTGTAGAATGGTGCAGGGAAAGCTCACATTCATTGGCACACATGGTGCTGCTGCCCTTTAAATGCAGATATAACTGCTACTTACGCAAATACGTGAAAGGGCTGCAGAAAACATTCGAGTTATAAGAATATTACCTAGGTATCTAGGTTGCTCGCACACACAAGACAATGGTCTTCCCTACAGAACGTACAAAAATAGCGACGCTTGCTGAATAACTGAAATTAGAAGTTGATGAATATGATGTTGAAAAATTGACTGACTTACATAGAGATCAATTATGAAATAAAAAATTCATTCAAGGAAAGCACGGAAAGTCGCTGAAGCTTCAGAATCAAAACAGGAACTGAAAGAAATGACAATCTCGTGCAGAGAGATTTCCGCAAGAATGGTACAATTGGATAAGATGGATGGTACTGCTCTATGATGCTTAAGGTCTAAAGAGAAAAAGATTACGCTTTAGCCTGTTACCAAGAGAATAAAGAAGCGATTGTTCAACGATCTATTGATAATTTCATAAAGGTCGAACAGTCAAAATAAATATTATTTTGTCTTATTTTCTCACACTATTAAATCCTTAATTACGCATTTAAATAAGCTTGTGCGTGCATACTGTTTACCGTAAACACTAAGCAACTGGACGCGTGTGGGTGGGTTAAATCTGACTTGCACAAAATTTGTATTATATAAAGGTTTGCAGAAGACCTAGCTCTTACGTAAGTCAGGGTCTGTTTTAATCCCACGTAATTTACTTCGCGGGTCAATAAGATTACAACAAGTTGCGTTGGATAGAACGCATGAAGAACAAGTGAATAATGTACATTCAGCATATACAAAAAAACAGCGGAATATTTAATGCAATGACAGACAAAATTACATACGAAGATTGACTTGAAGGAGAACTGACGCATAATCACCTTCAAGATACAATAAACATATGACGATAAAGGACAGAGTCGATCGTCAATAAGTTTTTGTACGGTAGACAGGACGTCTGAATTAATTCCAAGTTTACCGTAGTTTATACCAACAAGTTGTTAGTGTATAATCCAAGAGATGTCTCGGATCGTTCAATTACATGATGCTGATTCGACCACTTTTCTAGCGATAACATCCATTTCTTCCTTTCGGCCTAGAAAATCAAGCAAAGTCGCCATTTTCATTGCTTTCCGCGATATGCACGACTCCTCCCAGGTGGTTAGGGAAGTAAATTTGCGCCCCATATAAAATTACGGACCATACATACGTCTTGATGAAAAACTGCTGAATCTCTGACGCAACCTAAACTCATCTCAAACACCGGAGGAACAAGATAGTGTTGGTTACTTTCCCAACTGCATGCCGTTCTTCAGAATAACTCCCGCGTAACTAACTTCTGATTTTTTTGCAAAACTACTCGCCACTGATGATTACTGGTTCTGGACCACTTTGTTTTTAAAACGGGCGTGAAGAAACACCATATCCTTTAGTTAAATGGATTCACCTTAAGTTAGGTACAGTTTATTCAACTACTGACATTCTGGACGCTATCACTCAACCGTGTTATGTTTTTAAGGTTTAGACAGGTGCGAGTAGAAATGTCGTCAGTGCATTTTTTAAACAGGTAGCTCCCACGTGGCTTTTGCGGATGCCGGCATAGAAAGCATATAATGCAGGAACCAAAACTGAATCTTGCATCCATCCAAATTAACAAAGTTTCAAGCTCGACTTGAACTTCCTGCTAACTGAGACGCACAGTGTAATGTCGGTAACAGGCCGAAGAGTGAATCCCGGAAAAATGGGACAAATCATATAAAGGAACATAGCATATGTACATGTAAAACTTCAGGAGAGTTATGTTCGTGCAATGGTAGTCACAAAATAACTAAAATATCAGACAAGCGATACAGTACACTATTACCAAGTAACCGCTTAGAGATAAGGTTGTTCCTCATAAAAACTAAGCTTGTTCAGTGATCATTTTCAAGCGATAAACTTTTTACTTATGCTTTATTAAAGAATAACTGCATCATGCAACGATACGAAAAAGAGAAAAAGTTGCACAAGCTCTCATCACTGAGGATATAACATGAGCAACCAATGCTGTTGATGGTAACTGAAATGCCACTATCTATTTACACATAACAGATGTATTTCAGTGCAGCTGTTAAATGTAATGAGTCATGGTCCGGGTAAAAATGCTACTGGTCAACAAAGAGCAATGGAACAAGGAAATTAACTGATAAATCCGGTTATGGAGAAGTTAAATGGCTGTTAATACACTCCAATATACGAATCCGTACTTTAGACGCATTTTATGACATGATTTTTGAAGATTTTCAACTTACGAAAAATGTTTTTCATACGAAACGGTTGGGTAGTGGCCAGGCAACTGCTGCAGCAACTCTTCGACCGCCTTCCGCAGAACAGGCCAAATTTTCTCGAATTCAGCTTTGCTACATCGAGGGTCCTAAAAGACGACCCTTTTTCACTTACTATCTTTCAGCGCTGCCTTAGTTAAATATTGAAATAAGGTAACTAAAGCAAAATTACTGACTGTACGTTTTCAAGAGACATGTTTAAAGCTCGCCTTGAGTCGAAGAATTTACAATTTTCTATTACAGTAAGCCTGATCGCCTGTCATTTCGCTTAAAGATGGTCAACTTAAAAAACCACAATTATTAACTAAAAATCGGCCCAGCTGTGAACCGATGGAATTCGAAAGCCCACTACATAGTATACTACTGCCCAACTTCCCTTAGGGGATAGGATATAGGTAGCACTGCAGATGCTCAAACACAAACGAGCCGTGGTCTGCTTAAGTGGATGGACTTAACTGGCAACTAAAAGCAACTGTGAGACACATTGCGCTGAGACATTTGGTCTTGGACAATTTAAATACTTGTTTACACTCTCCAGTGAACAAACTCCAATTTTTGAAGAATATCTTTTCACAAGAAAAAAATAAATTTATTTGTTTATATTTTTTGGTTTTTATTTTAATGAAAGAAATGAAAGTTGCCACGTCGGTGTTCCTTCACTTTCATGTTGAGCTCTTTTGATCTCCGTTTCTATGCCATCAGCCATGAGTGTCTCGTTTTAAAGGAAGAGTCTACAGTATGTGGCAGGCGCAGTGTGCAGTTTCCTGTTTTTTTTCGAACTGTAATCGTTTGGAAGTGTGAGTGATCCTGACTGGAGCTTAAACTCGGGACCTATCGGTTCTGAGTAGGACGCGAACTGACTGAGCAACCCTAGTCTGGTACAATGTGTGACCAGTCCGCTGCTCATGAGAATTCGTGAATAAGACAAAGGTTGCCCGTGAGCGGAAGGACACTCCCTGATATACAGCATTAGTGGTGCAGGCATAACTTTCCCCAAACCCGCACCAAGGGCTATGGAGCTGCAGTACACTTCTTAAAATTGTGGCTGTTGTTAGCCTGGTCTACTTCTGCAGTTTATTTATTCTTTATTTTGTTTTATTCCAAAAACTACTACGCAGTTATCAATCAATCGACGGTTTTACTACCTTGTACAAGGCATCTGTTATTAAGAAGAGACTACGCTGCTTCGAATATAACGAATTTTTCAAATACATCGAACATGAACGGTACGCGCAAACTGGCTCACAGTAATTAATAATTAAAGTTGTGCACAACTCTTAAATAATCGAGAAGTTGCATATTGGCATTAGCATTCTCGGGTTCTTCGAAATATGTATCAGAATAGGAATTAATTATCTTAATAACACCTGAATTGAATCAGAGTATTTTTTTATTTTGTGGCGGTTGCGGCTTGCCTGAAACTACTCGATCTTGGTTTCGTCTAGGCTTTGTTATTTTCGCAGACAACTAACAATATACTTCCATATGAATGGATAATGACTTGCAAAAGTACCAATGCCACCCCTATAAGACATTCTTCGTTTTTGGCAAGCCATCGTAGATAATGTCAAAGCAATTCCGAACTGTTAAACCGAAATGTTACTGCCTTCGTCTCTGACGTCGATCTGGACGACCAATCCAAGCATTTTCCATGGAGTCTATAGAAGTGTAAACTATATTCAGTCTATACGACCTTAAATGCTCGCTGCACCTGCTGCACCGACACGAATGATAGTGCAGTGAGCATTTGCATTTTTAAGGTGAACATCGCATCCGTTGAGCATCTTTGATGGAGACGGTTCGCCTAAATGATTCAGCAGCAGTTGCATTGGCCAAAGTGAAAAAGGCAGCAGCGATGAAGGACATTTAGAAGGCTTTCTTGAAAAACGTTAATAACTGCATGTTCAAAATTAGTCAGTACCGACAGAGGTGCCAAACTTGATTCCAGATGTTTCAAGGCGTCCAACATTCGCAGATAACTAGCCTTCCGAATAACTAGTCCGACAGCAAGGCAAATCCCTATTGTATGAAGCTGGAGCACTGTATCCTGTGGATCATGTACAGTTGCTCAAACAATCGAGAAATTGTTTTAAATGTTCCGTCGGCATACCAGCTGAATGACTGCGACAATAATCGCAAATTATTGCTTGTAAAAAAATTAACAGGCTATTGTTACCGAGTCCACTGTAATGTATCAGGAAATCCTTTCAGCCAAACGTCTGTCTGTAACCCTCTGACAGTACCAAATCATTTAGGCTGGTTGGACTCGGTAGTCCGACTCGCGACTCGACTGTCCGGCGCCTGACCGTCTGCTTCATGTTATGAATGAATGGCAATTTTCTGGTTACTGCTTGTGACAGCCCTATAGATGCTAAGGCGATAATCTTATGGGTAAAATCCTGAGACATTATGGCGCGCTCTTTCAATTTTTCGATAATTCTCCTACTTCTGCTTTGGAGGAATCATTTGGGCAGTTTCCCGACTGGCAAAATGGCACGCTCATCCAATGTATGCAGTCTGGAAGGACATTTGTTCTTGTGGCTGAGTTTCCACTTCAACATTACCTTCTCTTACTTTTCCTCGTCTTTGATAAACAAGTGACACAGGTGCAGGAAGTTCGGTTTCCCCTTCATATTTAGAATTAGTTGCAGAGACACTTATTGACAATTATCCAATTGAGTTACCGTATCCATTATAACAACTGTTCTCTTCTCGAACTGCCGTACCCATAGCTCGTACGACAGAAACTGCTGAGATGGTCAGATGGCAGCAAGAAAGTGTGCACGAGCAAATTCATGTGAACCAACATGCATACGCACATGAAACTACAGTTAATACTGAACGTTAAAATTATTTAAAATGAGCGATTTCTGTAATTCAAGAACCCTCAGGATCCTGCAAAGAAATGGGAGGATAGAGCAATGGTTAAGTCTTGCCAGCATGGCGTTGTACCCAGATGCAACAAAGAATCCTTCAAAACTTCGCATGCAGCAGATGCCCATTATAACACACTGACTGTCGAAATCACACGGCCGCCTGGACGACATTTTTTGCGATTCGGTCAATATGTTTTTCTCCAGAAATTTCACTCAAGTGAAATAAGCAATAATGCACGTTTTAAGATGCTACATTCGTTCCTCCAGGGACCAGCAATTAAAACATTGCCGGCGTAGGTAAAGATTTGATTCAAACATGAGAAAATAATGAGTCAAACTGCTTCACTCAAAGGAGGAATCTGGAATTTCTGGAATCCAGCAGTGACCCTCTCAAAAACATAACAATAACGTAATCATTCCAGCAGAGGTTGCTGTTCAGGATAATACCAAAATACCTAAGACACTACTAAAAAGCATCGATTTATTATCTTTTGTCATCAGGTGTTCAGCAGCGATAAGTAGCTTAGTTGCTATGATCTACATGACCATCGTTAGACGAACGCTCTTCTGTTTGCTAATAATCAAACCATTGCTTATAATTTAGCTTTCCATTTCATCATAGCTTCTTGCAAAACAGAAGAATCAGACCGCTTCTGACTGCAGAAATAAGAACCATATCATCAGCATAC